CTTGTGCCTGGCAGACAATAGCCCAACCATTTCAAAGCTTACGCATGGACTTTTTAAGAGCAAGCAGCCTTCATCAGCTCGAAGACAAGGCGCGGCGGTTGCTCGGTCTCAGCATGGCACCAGAAACCCACAATCCCTCCACCCTGAAGCTTGTAAGCCACGACTTGGGTAAGGCTTTCCGAGTTTAAGGCTGGGGACCCCTGAAAGCCATGCCAGACCCCCGGGAGGATCTAGAAAGTAGATCCCCTAATTTGAGGCCCTATACTACTAAGGGTACTTTATAGGAACCCCCATGAAGGGATCTACTTTTTGGATTTTCCAGTGGTCTGGGATGAAGCCATACATGCCACGGGCACTCATCCAGCGATGAAGCTGAGGCCGAAATCCAAAGTCTTGTCCGCTACACCCTAAAACCTACACCGTCTACAGGGCTCCAAGGTTGCAGCGACACAGACTTTCTTAGCACCACTTCCTCATCTTCCTGTCAGGGTCACCCGTAAGAAGCAGGGCTCCTATTTTTGAACTTCACTCCACGAAGCCATCATAGCGGGTTTACGTCTTTGATCACATTCTTGTCAACAACACGCTCTAGAAGCCTCTACTTTAGAGGCTGCCCCCACCCTGTAATAGTGACTATAAGGATTACATTAGGGCCCTTTTTTATTCCTATGAGACCACTATTACAGGGTGGGGGCCCCCTCGATTCTAACCTCTACTTCTCGTAGGCTGAGTAGCCTAGCCCAAAAGAGTTAACCTGTTGAATTACTTAGTTGCTGAGTTCCCAAGCCCCGAAAAGTTTACACTTTCAGTTTTATCGTGTGAGGTATTATCCCCAAAAGCGTAAAGTGTGTCCACTCAGCTACTAGGATTATGCTTGGATTATAGCAACCCCAAAAGGTTAAAGGCAACCTACCCAGCCCCTTAGAGTAGCCTCATAAGACCCTCCTGAAAAGCCTTCTTGCCAAGCTTGGACTTTGGGTCTGCGGTTCGGGCGTTTGGAGTCCAGGACGTAGGTCTCGGGGGGTAGGGTTTAGTCAACCTTAAGGTTTACGGGTTTAGGGTTTACCCAGACCCCCGGGAGGATTCAAAAAGTAGATCCCTTAATGGGGGTTCCTACAAAGTAACCTTAGTAGTATATTCTAGATCCTCCCGGGGGTCTGGGTAGGTGTTTGGGAGTTTGAGGGTTCAATATTCTAGAGCTGAAATTCTCGACTGCAACATCCAACTCAAACAGCCGCTGTGCTTAGGGTTTCGCGTAAGCTCCGGGTTTAAAAGTTCAGCATCCGCAACACTATGTCGAGGCATCAAGCGTGTACTTACACCGACGTGCTGTGATCATGATCTTCTCATGGGATATTTCCCTGTTGCCCGACAAAAGCATCCCTGCACCCGTCCACACCAAAAGCCCGAAACCCAAACAAGACCCAGCGCTGCTTGAAGGATTATGGGACTTAGTAAGCAGGGTTGTAAGTACCCTTAAACGGTTAAAAAATGCAGTTAGTTTATTTACAACCGCGATTACGATGTCCCACGATCCTCCAAGTACGCCCTAGTCTCGAATCCCGAGGGACACCTAAACAAAAATCATAAGCGCGATGCCCAAAGGCCTTGCAAAAACGAAGTGCTGTTGCAAGTTCATGAGCTGTAGTGCAAGTACTGTAGGGGCCTTAATAAGGGGAAGAAGGTTTCGGGGCATGTTATACCAGTATACCACAGCAGCTGCATAGGAACTATAAGGGAACATCATTGCACATGATTCCGATCCGTTTATTGCTGCCACAAGCTCAGTAGTTGAGGCTTTTAGCAACCTCGAAAGCTTCCTTTCTTACAAGCTTACTCGGAGCTATCCATACACCAGCACCTCTACCCCCAAAACCCTCATATAGGGGCCTTCATAATTAGCGACACTGTTTTGGGGGTTCCTTACTATATTTACAGTATGTTGGGCCCCAAACCCTACGCTAATGATTCAGGCCCCTATAGTACACCCTTAAACAATAAACCCCGAACACCAAGGACCTTGTTACCCACGACTTGAAGTCCGCCACAACAAGCCGAGGCTCGTTCAAACGCCGCCGGGTGGCAGCATGGGTATTAAAAGAAGTCCAGGGTGGTGTAGGGTTTAGGAGGGGTACTGAGAGAAGTCTGGGGTCCTAGATGGGTGTTTCCGAAAATAGGGGACCCCAATATAGTACCCTAGATAGCAGGATCCTTATAGGGACCCCAAAATAAGGTACCCCTAATTTTTGGAAGCCCCCAGATTGTAGATGGCTAGAGTAAGACTTGAAGTACATTCTCAAGTATTCGGGCATCACGCAGCAGGGCTAGAAGCGACTACGTGTCATCGGGGATCTGCTGAAACACCACTGGGGATTAGTACTCGTTTGTGTGAAGTTTTAGGAGCTCACAGTACTTTACGCATTCAGCCTTTCCCGTCGGTTGTATAAAGCCAAGTTGTGCTTTTACCTAAACCCTAAACCCTAAACCCCTAAACCCCTAAACCCTAAACCATTTTTGGCAAGGGTTTGGGCTTCAGAGTCTTGGGTTAGGGGCTTGAGGCTTCGGGCGAGACTTGGGCGAGTCATTCGTTTCTTGTTGTCCTCGTGGCTTGTGCTTGTGGTTCTTCCCAGACACTTGGTCCAATGAAGGGCTGCAGTGGCACAGGAGATGCATGCAAGCCTCAACGACCCTCATCACGAATATGCCGAAGTATATCAACACATGCCTACCGACACGCACGTTCAACTATGATGACATATTTCACTTCGAACCAGCGTAGAACCAACACGTTCAAAGGCTTTTTCACTTTAAGGCTAAGTCGGCTAAGTCGTATCGATAGAACTCACCTTGCATCGCCACCCTCGCCCAAAACCTACCATCACCCGCTTGGGCAGACTGGCGTCGGATCTTGGTTCCCTTCGCAGCTCGCTGAGGGAACGACTGTTCAACATGTCTTCTTGAAATGCAAAATACTCTTTGAATGCACGGCCTCAAGTGATGTTCAAGATCCCTCTGTAACCCAAAACCCTGAACCCTTAAGGTAAATTGCTCAAGGCATCTGATGTTGGTTCCTTATACTATACCATAATATACTACAATACTACTATGGGCATAGATTTTTTGATTCTTCCTTTTCAGTGCACTGAGGGAAAGAATGTGCAAAACGCAGCGTGTAACTCCAAATCTTATCGTTTAGGGAAATGCCTGAACTCCAAGTATGATTTCTCTGTGATTCATGGGTTTAGGGTCCAGGGTTCTCTGGGGTTCAGAGCTCAGAGTTTAGGATTAAAGATCCATCCGTAAATGTGAAATGCCTAGAAAGTTTCTGGATCCCGGGCTTAAGACAAGCTCTTGCCGGGAATGCAGCGTGGGTTTGCCAGCTAGGATTTCCAGAAGCCCTACTTTTTGAGGGCCCGAATATAAATCGACGGGGTTTCAAGTCGGGAGTCCGTGCTGCATAAACTCTAAGCCCCTGAACCCTAAAACCCTGAACTTGCTTTGAAGTAACCAGGGAGAAAAAGGTATAGACTTTTTTCTCATGCTTGGTTCCCTTTATTTTGGTATTAAAGTATGGTAGTCCAAAGCCCAGTAAACGCTAAAGGCCCAACCCCTTTCGTATCTTATACTGCGCCTGGCACGGCGAGGGGGAGACGACATTGGGGACGGGCATCACGACCTGGGCCGAGTGAGTGAGTGTGTGGGTGCCTCTGTGCGTGCCCGTGCTCCTATGGCAGGTATTTTAACATATGCTTGCGTGTTTCGAGACATGTACAACTACACAACTGACAACATTGTTATGCACACACACAGACACACACTGAGCGTATAAGGCACGCATGTGCATCTCTACATGTGATTTCTACACGCATGTACGACCGTATGCATGCATGCATCATGCATGCATGCATGCATGTATGCGTGAAAGCATGCATGTATGCATGTATGTATGGTCCAGAGCAAATATGGCGTGCATGGCTTGGAGTGTTGAGTTGGGCTTGCTGTGGCTGTTGCGGCGGGAATATGCGGACCTTAGAAGGTTCAATTGGGTGTGGGGCCCTCTGTGCTACAATTATAACAAGGATGACATGCTCGTCAGCCTTGCGGCAGGACTTCCAAAGTTGGACCGGTGCTTGTGTCACAGTAAACCCTAAACCCTAATCCCTAAACCGTTCAGAGTTCAGGGTTTAGGGTCTCCCTGAATTCTAAACCCCTAAGCCCTACACCCCTAACGCCTAAAAACCCCTGAACCCGCAGGTCTGGGCATCTGTTAAGGTCCCTGTCATAAGGGTGACGTAGCCTTGCGGGGATCCGGAGAAGGACTCTAGCAGGTTCCTGAGTAGCCCTTTACAAAGAAGAGTATCTTTTTTTTCCTACTGCTCGGCTTTAATATGATAACTAATACGGGGACCCTAAAATCAAAGGGCAAAAGGGCACTACTCAGGAACCTAGTCTAACGCAGAGCCATCAATGTGGGGCTCATCAGAACCTTCTTTTGAGCTACACGCTAAACTCCGAGGAGCCTTAATAATTAGAATAGAGTTTTGGAGTACATTACACTATATCCATATTAATTATAAGGAACCCCACAAGAGTATAGGTAATTATCAAGGCTCCTTTTATATTCCTTAATACATTGGGCATTCTGGGTTCTGCTTGCTCAACTACACCCTAAAGTCCCTCGACTCGGAACTCTAAGCCCTTCGACCATAAGCCCCTCGACACTAAACCCTTAAGCCCCAAACCCTGACGGTGATATAGGGGCTTCAAAAACTAGAATAGTGTCTTGGGGACATTATACTGTCATTATAATAAGGAACCCCCCCCAACATAGTATAGGCAGTTGTTAAGGCCCTTACTTGGAGGCCCTGTTGACTTAGTAAGTCTACTTAGTATCCCCTAGAAACCCCATTATAATCCCCATAACCCACCTTACTAACCCTACTTACTAAGTCAAAAGGGCCTCCAAGTATGTTATAACACCTCAAGAGCGCTTCTTTTGCTCAGACCAAGTGAAAGTAGTCGACACCCTCGCGCGCAGCGGGAGCATCGCGTTTGATCCTCGGCTGCGGGGTCTACCCTAAACCCTAGGGTTCCTTTAAAGGGGTCCTAAAAGGGATCTATAGGGGTTCCTTAAAGGGATCTATATGGGTTTAGGGTTTAGGGGTTACTTGGAGGCCCTTTTGACTTAGTAAGTAGGGTTAGTAAGGTGGGTTATGGGGATTATAATGGGGTTTCTATGGGATACTAAGTAGACTTACTAAGTCAATGGGGCCTCCAAGTAAGGTCTACTGTAACCAGACCCCTTAAAGGGTCTACACCATGGAGCCCCGACGCTGTTTATGAGGCCAATTAGGGCTCGCTTGGTCCTAATTGCAGGAACCTGATATGAATCCTACTACTTCGGGGTTATAGACCCAGGGTTTCTAAATCAGGTTCCTACATTTTGACTGAAAGCCTTTAAGCAGTCCGAGTAGTGCCAGAGTTACGAGACTTGCCGCTTCGTGGAAGCTCTTGCTTGCGAGTGGTGGAATCGGGACCTTACTCTTGGATCGTTTGGTGTTGCTACCCGTTGTTCACTCACTGGCCCAAAACCCAAGGACACATCAAGTTGAAACTTTCAGAATCGACTACCTCATGAACACCAAAAGTTGAAAAGTTTAGTTTACACCCAATAAGTTCAAGAAATACACCTCAACCCATGCCGAGGATTTTCCGGGCCGTGAGGCAAAACCGTAAACTCTGGGTTAGTTGGGCTTCATGATAAAGCTTGATATCTTTCCAGAACCGTCTGGTAGACAGGCTCTTGGGGCACCTAGTTTCGACAAGAGTTCATATAAGGGTTTCTTTAAGGACAATATGGCTTCAGGGCTTCTTGGGCTTAGGAGTTGCGGTTAAAGCCGCATAGCCGATACGAGCTATCGTTCTGAACTACAGCTACACGCAAAGCACTGCACTGATGTCCCAGAGCCCTGTGCCGAAGAACCTCACCAAACGGGGTGTTATGCCATGACGACAAGACACCTGTGATATGGCTTGAATAAGGAAATCCGTCAAGAAAAAAGGGCCTGAGGCCCTAAACCCCAAACCCCGAGGGTACTGCGGGAGAACCGAAGTATAACAAACACCGCTGCGCCGTAAACCCTAAACCCTAAACTCGGAAACCCCTGACCCTAAACTCCCAAACCCTAAACCCCGAAACCCTCAACCCCTAACCCCTGCACCCTGAACCGCTTCACCCAAGCATCGCTTCAATGACCCCGAAGCCACGCTCCAGGGCGACGCAGACGACCTCAACTGCTCTCTTTGCTTGTGCTTTGAGTGTAGGGCCTTGGGTCAAAAATCCTTGAACAGCACAAAGAAGGTCTACCTGACTTAAATGTTGTACTTTCCGGTTTCAGGGTTTATTGCCAAGTATAGGATCTAGGAAGCACACGGCTTGCTCATTCATCGCTGGGGTTGGATGTATCAGCGGGGGAACATGCTACTAGTGCGCTCAGAGACCCTAAACCAACAACCCTAAACCGTCAGAAATGCATGAGTTGGCCGAGTTGGACATCTCTTGGGCAAGTTGTTGTTGAATTCCTAGACCCAAGAGTAACCGAGGAATAAAAAGGGTGCCCTTTTTGGTTTAAAGGGGCTTATACGGGAACCTCAACCCTACAAAAAGGGAAAAGGCCAGGGCCTACTCTAGGTCCTAGATTCGGCGACCGTGTTCGTAAGACTGGGATCCCATCAACCTGGGATGTTGCATCTCGGCTTGAACCTTTCGCCCCGAACTCAGCGGTCGTGTTGCATCGGGTCTTGAACTCAGATCGAGCTTCTTGCTTTGGGGTCTGCGGGCTTTGGCTCTTAAGGTTGTGGGGGTATGGGGTTCCATGGACACGAAATTACGTGAAGCCACAGGTTGAGAACTTCTGCTCTTCATTGACGGATGCAAGATCGGGTTTGTAAACAGCTTACTTGGAGCTTCAAGTGACTGCAACTGCGCGTAGCTCACTGCTCCCGGCGCCTTTCCAAAATGCGAAGCCTGAACCCTAAACCCCTAAACCCTGAACCCCTAAACCCGGAACGCAAGAATTGGATCGGTAATACTAGAACCCTTGGAAGCAGTAGGGCTGGATTTTGAGGTAAACAGGGAGAAAAAAGTATTAAAGTATGGTAGTTCAAACCCAGGAGGGGATGTGTAAACCCCCTGAAGCATCTACAAGAAAACAAACAGGGGAAACACCGCCTATTGTAGGTCGCATAGTAGTAGGACACCTACCTATGGGGGTTCAGCTTGCTTGGACCGTTTAGTAGACCCTAACCCCTAAACCCCTAACCTCTGCTAGAAGACCTGGGGGAAAGCCATGGTTTATAGGTTGGCGAGCCAGGGACTGCATCAACGGCTTAGGCTCATTCTTTCAAGAGCCTGTTCAGTTCCTGTTCGTAAAAAGCACGGAGTCTAGGTTTTGTGTTTAGGTTTGTGGAGTTTGGGGCTGTGGCACTTGGGTGTTGCTTCTAGGTTTCTGCCTCTAGGGCTTTACGCTGAAGGGGTTAGAGCTCTCTGTCAAGGTCAGATCAATGCTACAGTGCTTAAAGGTGCTCAACATATTGGCCCTATTCGGACATCTGTTTTGAACACTCGACATCCTCAACCAGAAACCGTAAGCTCTTCTCGCCAGAGGCGCGAAGGGTGTTCTCAACCACTGCTGTGGCACGATGGGCATGTGAAATAGGGACCCATCTGCCTTAGCATAGGGTTGAGGGCCTTGATATTCTTATTACTTCGGTACTATTACTGTTATGACGTTTGTTGCTACTATGGTTATTATCGTTAGCATTACAGTTACGGTTCAGGGTTCTGGTTGCCAAGGCTTTGACTTCAAGCCCAGAGCCCGAAAGCCTAAACCCTGAAACTCATATCCTTGAAACATGTTTTTCACTTCGTCTAACATAGGGGCCTTAACAATCAGAATGGGGTTTGGGGTATACTCTGGCAAAATTTAACAAGGACCGTAAGGGGCGTTTGTTCCGAACCCTGTAGTTTGGCGAAGGGGTCACAGTTTCCGGTGGGCGGCTTGCTGCTATAGGAGCTAGGACTAGGGGGATCCTTGGAGAATATAGACCCTCTCAAAAAGAACCCTTCTAAGAGACCCAGAAGTAGGTCAAGAAGCCTCCCAAAACCTAAACCCTAATCTGTAAACCCTGAGCCTAACCTCTAAACCCTCCCTAATACCATTGGACTCCTCCTCACAATGAACAATGTACTCCTGAGCGAATTCATATTCTTAGGGGCTGAGTGGCTTCGCCCAAAAAAGGGTTAACCTTTCGGCAATTTTTCTACTATGGTAGGTTAAAGTCTACCTGCACAGCTACTTAGAACAGCTCAGGCTCCGCAGCCAAGCAGTATGCAAGGGAATAAAGGCCCGTAAGTGGGGTTGTGGTACTTAAAAGTTTGCTTGCGTTCACCTTACGGACTCTCGCGATACTAGGAGTGGTACAAAGTCCGATGCAAACCCCTTGAACGTCCGCGGGAATAACTTCACGCAGGTGTCCTTTCATACCCCTGTGAGGGCGCGTGCAGCCTGAAGGTGGGACTCTCGCTTAATCTGGGTGGTTGTCAAAATTAGGGTCCCTTTTGGGTACCCCAAATATTAGTTGTTCCTTACCCAGGCCCCCCGAAAATGGAGAAAGTAGATTCCCTAACTTGGGACCCTTATGGGAGCTTCCAAAAAAAGGGGACCCTCATATGGCACCCTAAGTAGTAGGATCCTCATTCTAAGGACCCCAAAGTAAGGTGCCCCCAATTGTCGGCAACTCCCATACCTATACTACGAAACGGTGCAGTATCACAACCCCCTCAAAGGATCTGCTTCTTGGATCCTCCCACGGGTCTGCGTAATAATAATTAGAATGGGGTTTTGGGATACATGATAATATAGTTGTGAAACGGAGCCCTAAGGAATATTTTCGCTAATTGTCGAGCCTCTATATTTGCACTCATAAACCTTAAACCCCAAAACCTAAACCCCAAACCCCACACCCTCAACCCTTAGGCGGACCTGTCGGGCTTCTGGGTCATTATACAATGAATATAAGAAGGAACCCCCCGCAAAATAGTATAGGTAATCATTTAGGCCCCTTTAGCAGCTTAGTTTATGAGTTCATAAGCCCCAAGTGTACACTTTCAGTATTATAATGGGTAATATTATCCCTTAAAGTGTAGAGTGTATCCACTCAGCTACTCCTTCACTATTAATTCATTCAGGCTCCTATCATCTTGGATCCTCAAAGGCCTGGATTCAGAACAGCAGTAAGATAGCCTTGTAACCTTATATGGTACAGGGGATCTTATTATGATTCACAGCCCAGTACTTGGAGGATCATGGGACTTAGTAAGTAAGGTTATAACTGCCTTAATTGGGGTTATAAGTATAGTTACCTTGTTTATAACACCACTTACTAAGTCCCCCGACCCTCCAAGTAGGCGGACTCTCGGGCTTTCTGGGTCATTCCAGCCGAAGGCTCCTGTGCCACCGAAATCCATTTCCCCCACTTGTTCTTGTCGACCTGGGAGTTTTTGCAAACATTAGGGCTGGTCACTAAACAAAACTTTCACTAGGTGGGGCTTGTCGCTACAACACCTGTGGAAGTAGCACAAACAATGAAATACTATTTAAAGAGATCCTTTAAGGTTCCTTTAATGGGCACTTTAAGGGTTCCTTTAAGGGATCTCTTGTAGGTTTCTTTAGTAGGGGCCGAATAGTACCTAGACTATTTTTGGGGGTTCCTTATTCTAGGATGCCCAGTAACCTAGGAATAAACAAGGCTCCCTTTTTGGTATTGGGTAACTTTACAAGGAACCTAGGACTGCAAAAAGGGAATATGGGTACCATTGGGCATCCTAGTAAAGAGATCCTTTAAAGGGTTCCTTGGAGGGTCCTATAAAGGTTCTACAAAGGGTTGGGGTTTTAATAGAGTTTCTGTATTTTGCGGTCCTTATACTAAAGATCCTATTATTTAGGGCACTATATTAGGGTTCCCTATTTGCGGAGACTCCTACCTGCATCTTAGGGGTTTAGGGGTTTAGGTAGTTGGGCTTAGGGCTTTAGGGTTTTGGGGTTTAGGGGTTCTAGAGGCTTTAGGTTTTAGGGTTCAGGGCCTAATTAGGGTGTTTAGGGATTCAGGGGTTTGGGGTTTAGGGGTTTGGGATGTACCTACAGCCGAACAAGCAACTTCTTTGAAACATTCCCTATTCTGAAGTCCTTACCTACTCCGTAGCCCCCAAGACATTTTTTTTTCTGGGCTGGCGGCACGGTTTGAGTGCAGCTTGTTGTTTAGAACTCTCCGCCCCCGACCCCCCCCCCCCCAGGTGTAAACCGACTTGGTAAGTCAGTCTCTTCCGTATCCCCTAGAATTGCCTATAATCATCTGCCGATCCCCATGACCATGACCCATGTTAACCTAACTCTCCTTGACCTTAAACCCTCAAGCGACCTGCCGGTGGACCCAAGTTTACGGCTCAGGGTTTAGGGTTGGAAGTTCTCCGTTGTGCTTGATGGCTTAAGCTTCAGCCTTCTTCTAAATTCCAATTCCTTCTTGCGATGCTGGGGTTTAGGGTTCCTCGTTCGGGTGCGAAGTGATTTCGGAAGGAGCCCTTAAACAGTATGATAATGGATCGAGTTGGGGACCATTATTTGTAAAATGCAAGCTAGTTGTTAAGTCTCCTAGCTCGTTCGGAACCATTACCAAAAACTTATCGCCTTGTCAAATACAAGTCCTTCTAGGATCGCAGCATTCCAAGGCTTCATCGGGATGATTCTAAAAGCTAAACTCCTAACCCCTGAACCTTAAACCCTAGACCCTAAGCCCTAAATCCTAAGCCCTGAGCCCTAAACCCCTAACCCCGAAGCCCTAAACCCCATGAACACAACAGATCGAGGAGATCTGGGTCAACTCGATATATGCAGACACCAGCATAAGCAAGGACCAGCCATTCTAAGTCCAATACAGAAGATGGAAGGTTGAGGGTTTAGGGGACCTTTACAATCCCTGAGGCTTCCTAACTATGTTTATACGATTCAAAACACCCGTATCAATCCCAAGGCTCGTCATTCTTATTTTCATCATTATTCTCACGCTTATTGTTCGTATGATTTTATTGTTGCCATCGTTATTGTTCTTAATCTTCAAAAGCACACACACCCCAACCCTGCCCTGCGTACAAAAGGACACTGATTTTGTCCTGAGGTCCTCTACTATAGGAACCCCAACCATTAGGGGGGGTTTCAGGCTTGGGTTTTTTAAAATTTGGGGAGAACCATACAAAACATGTCTTTATACTACTCTAATCCCTTCTGGACCCCCTTTAGGGTTGGAGATGGAGGACCCTACCATGGGGCCGCACTTCTTCCCTTTCTATGACCCCTTGAGGCTTGAGGGCAGTACTACAGGTGCCTCAGTAATACTCGTTGTAGAAGCCTCTATAGGACCTCTTCAAGACTTCCTTTGATAGGAACCTCCTTCTGGACTTTGAAGTAACCAGGGAGAAAAAGTATAAACTTTTATTTCGTAACGGTTCCTTAAAGGAACAGGTACCAACAAAAAGTATTCAAGTATGGTACTCCAGGACCGCCTTACACTAAGTCCCCAATTGATGCGCCTCGTAGAATTCGGTCACCAGCTTCCGGGCATCATCCGACAAAGCCTTCTGCAAGGTTTAAGCTGGTAAAACGTGCAGTCAGGGTTCCCGGGCTAGTAGCTTTAGTATTCGTACGATGCAAGGTGTAATCTTAGCCTACGTACATATGTATATATATATATATATATATGTATATATATATATATAACTATTTCTAAACACTTTGGTGTGAGAGTTTAGGGTTTATGGTTTCCAGAGATCCCCCAAGCTTGAATAAATTGCCTTGTGCTTTACGTACACTCAGAAGACGTCCATAACTCTTCTCCAACGAGAGTTGCTGAAAATAGGGGACCTTAATATAGTACCCTAAATAGTAGAGGATTACTATTATAAGGACCCCAAAATAAGGTACCCCTAATTTGCGGAAACCCTGAACCATAGACCCTTTATAGAACCTCTCTAGATCCCGTTAAGGAACCCTTTAAAGGGTCCCCAATTTTCGGAAACTCTCATAAGGAACCGCCACAATAGTATTGGTAATTACCTAGGCGCCTATATTATAGTACCCTTATAGTATCCCTTATAGTAACCCTGATAGACCCTTTTAAAGGAACCCTAAGAAATAGTATGCCTCTCACATTGTCGCCAGAGCCTCGTCACTCCATCCCAGCGCTTCCGCGGTCTTTGGATCTTAGGGTTCAGGGCTTAGGGGTTTAGGGTTTAGGGACGGTTTAGGGTTTAGTTGACACTTCGGCTTGCCGAAGGAAAGGCGTCACCACAGCCGTCGAACACAGACGTCAGATTGGAGCCGTTCGGACCAAGCGGAGCTTCGGCCACCTTGTCGAACCTGACACTGTCTAGTGCTCGGTACGGAATGGGGGAATGGATCCCGATAGTAGTCCCTTTATACTTCCCAATAATAGTCCCCATAACCCATTCCCCCATTCCCAACTAAGAACCAGACAGTAGCACGAAAAGCTCAGCGCTTTCGGCGGCGTCGTTGCTGAGCATCCGTGACAATTGCAGAGAGGGTTTCCATGTTGACAGGAACAGAACTGCCCTTGTGCTAGGAAGATGACTACTTAGACGATACCGGGACTTAGTAAGTAGCGCTATAAGTAAGATAACTATAGTCTATACTTACACCTACATATTACCCTAGTGAGGGAACTTATAACCTGTTTTGCTAGGTCCCATGATGCTCCATGTGGGCCCTAAACCCCGAACCCTATAGATCCCTTCAAGGAACCCTTGGAAGTATTAAGGAGCTCTTAGAAGTATGATCGAGCAGACGAGGGGCATCCTCAACCCCGAGGATGCCTTTTCAACAAATCCGGGGCATGCACATCTCTCTGGTGCTTCGTCGGGAATGGGCGAATGGCCTTAGGGTTCCTTTACAGGGATCCTATAAGGGATCTGTAAGGGGTCCTATGAGGCATCTATATGACAGACATTGCTCCTCCAACTTCAGAAGCCTGCCCGGCTTGCTCTCAGAAGGTACTGTCCTTCAATGACATACCCCGTCTCCAAACTGATGAAAAGTCTTGAACACGTGTGGGATCGGGTCTTCGGCGCTTGTTGGTGGAGATGAGCGAGTCTTTAGCTGGTGGGTTCTTCGGTGTTGAGATGATTTTACCTTCAACTTCTGGAAGGGTTGTATACGACCACAACTCACTGGCCCAAAACCCAAGGGAATAAAAGTTGAAACTTTCAGAATCGACTACCTTATAAGAACCCCAAAAGTTGAAAAGTTTAGTTTACAGCCTATAAGTCAACTTCTGGAAGGGTTGTATACGACCACAAAGGGTTGAAGGCCACCTGCCCAACCTCGTTGCTCCGAAGAAACGCTGAATCCCAAGCCTGACGAACCCTGACACCTCCCGAACAGTGACTCCTATCCCACACCTTTACACTCGAGTCTTCAGAAAATACCCTAAATCCCAAACCCTGCACCCTAAACCCGCAAACCCCCAAACCATAAACCTTAAACTCTAAACCCCCAAACTCTAAACCCTAACCCCTAAAGCCCTAAAGCCCTAAACCCCCTAAACCGGAATGAAACCCTCTACGTGAGCCGGCCTTGACGAAGTCACGTGCATCACGCCCAGCGCCAAGCACACCGAAACCTTCCGAGGATTAGGCCTCGCATACAACCTTGGGCCTATCAGGGTTCCTTATATGAATCCTAGTATTTTGGGGTTACTATAAGGGATCTATAAGGGTACTATAATAGTGTAGGAACCTGATTAAGAAACCTTGGGTCTTTATTGGGGTTGCTTATATGAATCCTACTATTTTGGGGTTAATAGGCCCAGGGATTCTTGATCAGATTCCTACATTAGGCAGGGTTCGGGTTGGGCTCCGGAAGTGCCCCGACCCTCAATGATTGGGTTTACAGTAGAAGCCCAAAAGTTGGAAACCCAATAGCCTCAATCCTGAAGAGTAATGTATAGATAATCCCAGAACTATTTGGCCTTAATTCGGTTTCCAACTTTATGGGGTTTACTATAAAAAGGCCCTAATTCTTAGAATGGGGTTCATTTTAAAGGGGCCTACACGGGTTACTATAAGGCGTGATTTGCATAACATCGGGGCCTTAAGAAGTAGTTTGGGGTTTTGGTATGTTAAAGATGACGGTTCGTAGCCACACAAATATGCATCCACATCCACATATATACATATATCCATATATCTAAATGTCTATGTCTATGTACAGGTAGATGTATATGTACATGTATATACACAAGTAGTGTACGTATACACACACATAAACATGTGTATATACATACGGGCCTATCATGCTGTGTCCATGGGGGTACTCGTCGGCACCTTACGCCTTGCTTGGCCAACCTCGCACCGCGTGAATTTCCAGAACACACTCTGAAGACCTCGAAGACCACCGATTCGCAGGAATCCGTGTTGCATTTGGATTCCTGCTTTATACTGTCAAGTGTAGGGTTCGAGTTCTATTTCGCAACACTCTTGCAAGACCGTCCGCACTGCATTGAGGTCTTGGAAGCTCCGCCGAACGGTTCGCAAAAACCGAGGAGCTCTTTGGACGAGATTCTTGGCGACTGTAAAATATCTACGATCCAAAGGGACGCTCCACGTGGTGAAGAATCCGACAGCACGCTCCCCATCAACGAAGGATGCGGTTAGGGTTTGGGGTTAAGCCGCGTAGGGTTTAGAGTCTTTGTTTGGTTCTGCATTGTGGCTTACATGGTATACAAAGGCTAACCTCAGGAGTTAGGGATTATCGTACCCCAAACAGGATGAAGGTTATGTGCTCTACTACCAGGGTGGTCTGTGCGGACTTCGTCTTGTCCCCTTCGTTTCTGAGCTTGGAGCTCCGCTCCCAACACCAAGAGCCACAAACACGCAGAGGAAAAACGGTTCAGAAAAGGATCGAACAAAACAGTATACCTAGTCGTCCAGTATCCAAACCTTTGGGACTATACGAGCATTGTAGTACCCCCCCAAAACAAGAGTTACCTACCGTACTACGAAGTGTGAGCCCTGCTGTACACAAAACATCGCCAGGTTGTGAATTCTTTTTGTGCTGCTTCACAGTGGAGGATTTCCGTGCTTGAACCGGGGTCGTCTGGTAATATAAAGAAGTGGCATACTACTACTACTACTACTACTACTACTACTACTACTACTACTACTACTACTACTACTACTATTACTACTACTACTAATAATAATAATAATAATAATAATAATAGTAATAATAATAATTGAAACGCTGCGCGTCGTCCGCCTCGGCCCGGCTGTACGCGCATGCGGCGAGTGGCTACTATCTGCAGCAAGCTCTTGTAGGAAAAAAGTAACAGTTGGAATCGCACTTATAGTAAAAGTAATGTTCATAGCAACACGAAGCAGGATGATTGTGAGTAGTATTAGTAGTGGTAGTATCAGTACGAATTTTGGTGTCGTCATTCCGAAACACTGGATACCAAGACTCTCGCAAGCGGCGGGATGCCTTAAGTATGGGCCGTTGAGGCTGTGGATTTCGTGGGCGTCTTGGATTAGGGAAGCATCACAGCCTTTTCAACCACGTTACTCCGCCTATCCCAACGAAAGGGCGTCTAAAGCAAACCTGAGACGCACATAAAGATGCTACGTTGCAGTCCCGTGTCGTCGAAAACTCCAGAAAGCTCGCACCTGTCAGCGAGGAAGCGAAGAAAATTGGGTGGGACTGCCCACAGAAAGCCAAAATCCACTGGAGAAAGCGAAAATTCACCGCCGGACCTTGGGGCTCATCGACACGTTTCCATTTTTTAGGGGGGGGGGGCGGTGGCCACGATTTTGGGGGTGGGGTCACTGGGGAGGGGATTAAGAGGTGGGGAATAGGAGAATCCGAATAGGAACCTCTGACCGCTTCCGGAAATTAGGGTACCTTGTTTTGGGGTCCCTATAATGAACATCCTACTATGTAGGGTACTGTATTAGCGCCCCCCTATTCTCGGGAACTCCCAAATCTCCTTTTCGTGCCTATATAGCACCAAATAATCTCTTCAGAGGTCGATATAGTATGCGCTGCGGGGGTGGCATACACTACCCCAAACCCTACGGGGTTTCGGGGTTTAAGTTTGAAGTTTCAAAACCCTAAACCCTAGGCCTCTTTCTCATATGGATTTAATACCCCATAGGATTCGCGAGCATGGCTTTTCTCGGGTTATGTGGCCTTCGCTCGCGAACAGATCAAGTGCTTCTGCTGCACACGCCGAATCTTTTCGTGGGCAATGTTGCTTTATCTAGTTTTTTGCCATAAACCCCGAACAGATCAAGTGTTTCTGCTGGGCACACCAGCATGGTTGTTTTCGGGTGTTTCGCGAATGTTTCTTCAGTCACTTTCTGTTGGATCCTTCGACGGGTCTGGATAGAATAACCAGCGTAGTACAACCCGTCAGCCCTAAACCACCAAGTTCGAAGTCTGGCGCCCGCGGACAGGAGCAGCCCCAAGCACGACACTTTGCTAGTTTCCAGAGTAAGGGTTGAGGGTTTAAGGGTTTCGGTTTTGGATAGTTTAGATCCCTCAATAGTATGGATGGTTTATCCCTGGTGTTTCAGCCTTGACAAGGAAGCCGCAGGGCAGAACAGCCTGACCGGCTTTTCAACCCTGAATCCCTCGTCTGAACGTAGCCGTACACCGAAACCATGACCAGCTTAAGAAACCGAAAAAGTGTTCAAACCCAGTAAATTCTCATACGAAATGAGAAACATGGAAATTTCTTTGGGGAACCCTTGTAATTACCCCAAACAGGAACTCCTAAAGAACAATCATCGGAAAATGGTCATCGAAGGGTTTTAGGGTTTTCCAGTCCATGGCTGGGATAGTATCGGAAATTTAAGTTTCTATTCTTCCTTATTGGGTTTAAATGCACATAAAAATGCAAAATGTTCTCCAACTATGACAAAGTGCTGGGACTTGAAGGTCTTAGGTTTTAGGGTTTTAGGCTTTGGGGTTTTAAAGTTTCGGCATGCAGGTTGCGCGCTGAACCCCAAACATCTCCAAACCCTAAAAGCCCTGAAACACCCCCCATAGCAAAGATTTAGAACTTCAGCTCTTTAAATTGTATAAAACCTAAACCCTATAGGCCCAAGAAGCACGCCGCCTCGATTCCAGGGCTCAACGACGAGGATCTGCCTCTGAAACGCTGCCACCTAAGCGGCTTCAGGGTTTGAGGGTCCTTTAAGGATCTTTCCATAAAAGTTTTCTAAGGGTTCTGTGCGGGATCTATAGGGTTCTGCGAGGGTTCTATATGCTCTACGGATTGCGGTTCCGGAGCAGGCATATTTGTACCAGGGTTCTAGGGCCAAATCGCTACTCCCCGGCTCCCAAGCCCAGATAACCGTAAAACCAAGCTCGAACCGAATACATGCCTGCAAGATCAGGGCCTGCAGAGTCGGTAATATTATTCCCTGCTAGTCCCTGCTGCGCCAAAATACGCCCAAGCACTCTCAACCTGGAAGCGTTGGCTACTTGAGCGCGTCTGTGAAATTTCGATGTTTGGCTGGCCTTTCATCAACACCCTTATCAAGCTCCCGAGCCTGGATATGTAAACCCAAGCTCTGTAAGACACAGCACCCTTATACAGCAAATCATATATACTCGAAACCACCGAAACCACAAACAACCTATTCCCTCATTGCCCCTTTGTAATTAGACTGGAGCAAACCTATAACACCACATCAACACCCTATCACATGTTGCTCAAATTTTTCGGTCCCCAATGTTTAGCAGGCCTTGGCGGCTTGCACCGCCCGCCGAGGCAGGCGCCAGGAGCGCTGACCTTGGGTGTTGGCCCTTTGCTCAGACAGGGCCTGGAAGATCCAATGTTTGGCTTTTACAGGTATGGGTAATTCTCCAAATTAGGGTCCCATTTTTTCCGAAGCCATACCGTGAATCGACTGTGCGTCAACTTCAAAACACGGCGTTGGCGCAGCAAAGGGAGTCTTACTGTCCTGTATTTTCAAAACAGAAAGATTTGTTCGTGATCAAATCAGGCTTTCCAAGGAACCGGTTCCCACTCTTTGTTGTCGGTTCCTACCATGGTGGGTAGCAAGACAGTTACCGATATACTGGGTAACCGGAGGGACTGAGTTCAGATTTGCCTTCGCAAACTTGCGTTATAGATAAAGTTATCCTGTGCCAGGGTTTCTTCATATGATATTTTACCAGGTGTCTCTTTCCATGCAACTTTTTTCGTGTGGTGTATCCAAGTTTGCCTGGGCTTCCTAACTCGTGCTTGCAGTGACTTAGTCAATTCTGGTGGCGCTGCCGGGCATAAACGATACCTGTCGTAATGGATCTGAAAATTATGGAATCACTAAATCATGGTATCTGTCGTCGGTCGTCCCTGTGACCCCTGGTCCTGGGCATGTTTCAGTGGCCTGGCTGGATTCCTGCTCTCGGGAGGTCCAGTCTCGAGTTAGAGACCCCAGCTCCACCAGCCCCGACAGCACTGGTTGCGGTTCAGCCCGCACACCTCGAAAGTAGCCTCGGGTCTTGTAGAACCAGCTCCGCTAGCGTGCACGGAGGGCGAAACGCGTATTGGGCTTATGATTCTCCTCGCTTGCGCCAAAAAAGGGCTGCAGTAGTCTTGGCTCTCTACTGCCTACACTGGCCTCTAAATTAGCCTAAAACTACTCTAGAGCACAAAAAGCTCGCACAAACGGCTGCAGGCTGGGGTCCTTGGCTTGGCCCCGAGCCATGCACTGCAATACATTGCAGACCGCACCACGCTCCAGCCAAAATTCCGTAGTTGGCCAGTGCTGAAGCAACAGAATTAACAGTGCTTCGGGTGGCCATGCAGGTGCTGTGCACATCAGAACTTCTCCCAGTGCTTCACCAAACTCAATGGGTGTCTTCGTTATTGGTTCGGAGATGTGACCATCGCGACGATGCTTGAAGGATGTTGGACTCTTTGCCTTTTGTGAGTGTTTCATCCGTCTGTTTTTCTGGCAGGGGGTCTGAAACATTGTGAAGATATCCGTGCTTCTTGGACAGAAGATCTAGAATTCGAAAGGAGACTTGTGATCATTCTGGCGCAGCCTGGCGGCTGACGCTATGTCCGCGCCAGCCCGGCGCGGACGGGGCCGGGGCAGCGGCCGCCGGGGCCGCTCGAAAAGGGTCCCGCCACGCCTGAAAGGTTTTAGTTTAAGGTGTTCTCAGGGCTGTTCCGCGTTATCGATGCGTCTGTGCTCCACGTAATTATGGTAAATCAGTTTCGCATTTGGCTGCCGAGCAGGGGTTCTGATTCCTGGTTCTTCTTGGTCTCCGTGGGTTAGTCATTTGCTCTAGATAGGACTTTAAAGCAGATCTTCCAAGGCCTTTGATCACGGCGACTCATGCGAGGCCTGACTATCATAGACGTGGTCTCAACCTTTGACATACTCCTTGAAATCAAGCGAGTTCTGCGTGGGCAGAGAAGCTACAGTCAGCACCCCGACAGCGTTCTGAGGTTCAGCGAGACATCAACATTTGAGGTGTGCAAAATACTGCGTGAAAGGCGCAAAATTAAGAGGCATGGTAGGCTGATTTCAAACCAAAAAAGCTTCGGTACTCCCGAATAATAGTGACACTCTTTTCACCCTTTCGGTGCCTCAGCCACAGGCTCCGCGGCAAAGACCGGGGCTGCGAGGCCATCCAGGTATTCCTGGATCTGCATGGTGAGGTGCTCCACGACCTCAAGGTTGCACAATCGCGGGCCGGCGGGCCGGGCGAGTAGGCGGTGCGGGCGAGCACAGGGGTGGGCAGGTGTCGCACGGCGCGGGCGCAGCAGGCAGCTCGGTGGGCATCGTCGTTTTTCGAAGTGCTCCTGCTGTTTGTGTTGGCATCGGCTCACCACCTAAACATATAGACAGCCAAACCGTACTGGTGACAAGAATCAGTCTGTATAACTATCAGCAGGACTGAATAATGCTAGCAGCAACCGTGTTAATCACGGAAACAGGAGTGAGAGTGAGGTCTTCCATCCTCTGCTGGACCTCTTTTGTAATGTGTCGCGACTCCCGTGGGAGCTGCCGGCGGATCCTCCGCAAAGGACGCTGAACATCGGGCCACAGGGAAAAACTCGCCTCGAGTCCGACCATGCACTCCACACGCAGACGCAGAAGAGCAAAGACCTCAACATTGCACAATCGCAGACGGGCGGGCCGGGGCCGGTGCGGGCGGTGAGGCTGGCGGGCGGTGGGTGGGGTGGTGGGCCGGGCGGGTAGGCGGGTGGGCATCCCAACGGGCGGGCGGCCGCCTCCTCCTTTGCTGCGAAGACGATGCTGGAGGGAGTATAAAACCTGAAGGGAGCACAGCAACCTTACGCCGTACGACAACCAGATTCTTGTGTAAGCAGATGAAGGAACCCGAAGAAATACTATTATTGCTCAGTACTATTATTGCTCCATATTCAGGCCGCTGTAGACAAGACCGGAGTTTAGAGAACTATCCATATAGTACGGGTCCGAAACCTGCCCAAAACTAAGGAAACGACCTGAAAACATGTTTAGAAGCCCCTGTGCAATTTCAGGTATATGCCTTGAATTCAAGGGTGCAGGGTCTTAAGTTTGGGGACGGGCTAACAGAAAAATCCACGATTTCGGCTCCTATATTAAAGCTAAACCCTATAAACCGTAAGGGAGGTCCGGTTGAGGCTCAAAGCGCGAAGGTTGAGGCGGTTACTTGGAGGATCATGGGACTTAGTAAGTGGGGTCATAAACAAGGTAACTATAATTAGAACTACTTATAACCCCAATTAGGGTACTTATAGCCTCAAGTAAGGTACTTATAGTCCCAGTTAAGGTACTTATGACACCAATTAAGGTACTTATAACCCCAACTAGGGTACTTATAACCTCAATTAAGGTACTTCTAACCCCAGTTAAGGTACTTATAACCTTACTTACGAAGCTCCAAGATCCTCCAAGTAAGGCTTCTGGGAAGACGTGGCCTCCTTACGCTTCCACTCAGCTTCAGCCAGAAACTGACCTGGGAGAATATGGGAGTTTCCCGAAATTCGGGGTACCCTTGTGGTCCTTAACAGTAAGGATCCGACTATTCAGGGTACTATATTAGGGTCCCCTATTTTCGGAAACTCCCATGTGTCTCCGCCATTCCAGGAAGACGGCGACAGTCCTTGCCTGCTACTTGGAGGGTCGGGGGACTTAGAAACTGGCTATTTTAGGGACTTATAAGTACCATAACCCCAATTAGGGTCCCTTTTAGGGTACTTATAAGTATACTTCCTACCTACTTACTAAGTCCCCCGACCCTCCAAGTAGGACCGGAGCCTAGCTTTCCAGCCGGACTCTTCCGACCTTGCTGTCCTGGGCGATTTTGCTCGCGAGCCCTCAATCTCTAAACCCCAAAATGAAACCCTAGACCCATACTTGAAGGATCATGGGACTTAGTAAGTGGGGTTATAAAGAAGGTAACTATACTTATAACTACTTATCGCCCCAATTAAGGTACTTGCAACCTTACTTACTAGTAGTCTCCGAAAGAAGCGGAGTTCGGCACCGGCTTTGTATCTGTCATGTCTCGAAATGTACATGCTTTTTTGGAAGCAGCACCCACGAGAACTCAAACTAGAGCCCAAACCCAACGCATGGGCGTGGCTGCTCACTCCGAGCTTATTCCTCAACAGCTGGGGTAGGGTTTGGGGAGTTATAGTATATCATATTCATGTAGGCACACCTTTACAGAAATTGTAGTGCTTATTAGAACCTTTGGAGTGCTCGTGTAAGGAGTTGCCCAGAAAACTCTCTTGAGGAGTTGCCCAGAAAGCCCAACCACCTACTTCTGGAGCAATGCCTTAAACCAGGCGACCAAGCGCCCCCCCATGTTCTAAGGCATATTCCTGGACTGGGGTATTGGGCTCTCTTGGTGGACCATGAATGTAGAGGCTTACAGAAGCAGCTAGACAAAAATACATAATGTTGGGATATCCAATACCCCCGCGTTTTAGACAAAGCAATAAGGTAGGCATATTCCACTCAAAAGCGTATGTTTGAGTCCTCTTTTGGTTACTGATAATGACTGGGTTGGCCTTTAAACACCCTGAAATATACTTATATACAGGGTCCCTTATAAACGCCAATCATTAAAATACAAAATGTCCCAAAATCCAACCTAGATGATAATGGCGATCGCCGAAGAGCCGGGGTGACAACGGTAGCGCAACAGTGGCCGCGGCACCCTGGAACTAGAATTAGCTTAGAAGGGGCCCCCCACCCTGTAATAGTGGCATAATAGGAATATAATAGGGCCCTAATATAATCCTTATAGTCACTATTACAGGGTCGGGGCAGCTTCTAAGGTTTAGCGTTTGGTTTTGTTTTGTGTTCGTTGGGGTTACAAGTTTTTTTTACAAGGCTGTCAGCGTCTTGCGGGCGTTCTGTGAAGGTTGTCTGGGCTTTCTGTACAAGGGTTCTTTCGAGGGCATTCTGAGGGCTTTAACTTCGGGTTTGAGACTTCAGGGTGAGAAATGTGCAAGGTCACACCAGTTAGGGATTTGGAGTTTGAGCAACTCGAACCCAGAATCTCTACCGAGGGCTCCGGATCATGGTGAACTACGACACTTTCCCTCCATCTCTGCAGGCCAGAAGCCTGAAAACACCTTTGGATGACGATAATCTGAACTGGACTTTGAAGTAAGCAGGGAGAAGAGAGTATAGACTTTTATTTCATAATGGTTCCTGAAAGGAACAGGTACGCAAAAAGTATTCAAGTATGGTACCCCAGAACCCAGTAAACTCATAGGGATCCTTAGGGGTGTAGGGGGAGGGGGGGTGGGGGGCCTTAAGGCCCATAATAAGGACTAATAAGGCCTGTTTAAGGAAATATAGTCCCCTATACACCCCTCCCCCTACACCCCTAAGGATCCCTATGATAAACCGAATCAGCCCCTAACCAGAGTGAGCCAGGCCCCTGCATTGAAAGTTCTTCACTGAGCGAGACTAGCGAGAAAGCCTACAGTGTTTCATGTGCATAACTTGACGTGATAGCCTGCGGGCTCTATGCGTAAGGGTTTAGGGCTATATGGGAGTTTCCGAAAATTAGGGTACCCTATTTTGGGGTCCTTACTCAAGAATAACATTAGCCTCTATATGTGGGTTTCCGAATATAGGGGACCCTAATGCAGTACACTAAATAGTAGGATCCTTTCTTATCAGCACCCCAAAATGAAGTACCCCTAATTTTCGGAAATCTCTAAACCCTAAACCCTTGATAGAGCCTCTATAGATCCCTTTTCGGACCCTTTCCCCCTAATTTTCCGAACCCCAACATAACGAACCCCAAGCAAGAAGACTTGGGCAAGCCTCAGGAGCAGGCCGTCGGCCTCCAAATGCTTATGGAAGAAGACGATGTCCTCTCAGCCACTCTTTTCGAGGGTGTTCAGGTGGGCAGTTGTCAAGATTATGGTCCCTTTTTGGGTACCCTAAATATAAGGTGCCGTATTATACGAAGGACCCAAAAAGGGACCCTAATTGTGACAACCATGTCGCGATGTTGCCCCCCGGCAATCACATACGACGGCATCCTATACCTCGAACAGGGTCTTCGATGCCCTACTTACGGAAGCTATCTGACCCAGTTCGGATTGTACATCGACCTCCCGATCCACACACCGCAGGACGACACCCTCCACAGGAGAGGGTTTTGTTTCTGGGAGTCCCGAACAACTTCGTGGATCCCCGAACTACGCTCACCTATTCTACGGTGTGGCACAATATGACGGCATCTCTCGCCGACTTGAACCATACATCGGTGGAGGATCGCAACCCAGGTGGAGGTGCAAGGCCTTAAGCGCCTTAAGGGGTTGGGGCTTAGGGCCTTGGGGTGCCAAGGCTTTAGGGCCTTAAGCGTTTGAGGGTCTAAGGGTCGGATTAAGGGGTTTTGAAGTCCATTTTAGTATGAAAGTCTGAAAGGATGATTGGCAGCTCTGTGCAATGATGCAACGATACTCAAAACCTTCGTCAGGCTTAAAGACACGAACAAATCCGTACCTTGTACGGCTCAAGTAAACAAGCCTAGATTGCCCTTCTGCCGCCTCACCCACGGCGGTGTCTTGCGTGTAGCCGCCGACGCGCTCCTTCCACGCGCAGGGTGGAGGGATGAGCAGATGATGTGTGGTTCAGGGATATGTAGGGGTAACCCAACCGCAAGCTGTGGTGGCTTCTGGTTCTTGGCTCCCAAAACCAATTCACCTTAAACCTCAGGCGCCATTAACCCCAAATCCCAAACTCATATCCCACACCCCAAATCCCAAAACCCTATTCTCCTAAACATCCCCTTTTCGAGGCTCCCAAATCCGGCGGTGGTACATCCAGGTCGGATGTAGGAGCGTGACCTCTCTGAAGCCTCAGGAGGACAAAAACTCTTAACCCTAAAAACCCTAAACTTAAGGAAACCAACTGGTTATGTAGCGATAGATAGTCATGATGTAGGGTTTGTCGTGGGCCTTAAACCCTCAAGTCCCATGCTCCGAAACCACTTGAAAGTCCTCAAACCCCAGAAGCCCCTAAAGGCTAGGAGTCCCTAAACGGCCCTAAACCTTAAACCCTAGCTAAAGCACTAAACTCTACTTGGAGGCCCTGTTGACTTAGTAAGTCTACTTAGTATCCCCTAGAAACCCTATTATAATCCCCATAACCCACCTTACTAACCCTACTTACTAAGTCAAAAGGGCCTCCAAGTAGAGCACTAAACCCTAAAACCCTTCAACCTTAAACCCTAAGAGTCCCAGACCACAGCTACATCGAAGAGCTGTTTAGTATGGGGGCCTACTTGGAGGCCCTTTTGACTTAGTAAGTAGGGTTAGTAAGGTGGGTTATGGGGATTATAATAGGGTTTCTAGGGGATACTAAGTAGACTTACTAAGTCAACAGGGCCTCCAAGTAATAGTTAGAATAGGGGTCCCTTTAAAGGGATCCTGAACAGGGGTTCCATAAGGGACCTATAGTAGGCTTCTATCGCAAAACCGACTACTGCCCTGAGGCCTCAGGAGAAAACTAGGGCGTGCTCGCGAGGCCTGTAGATATGATACTTGTTGAATTGTTCTGAACACATTCTTAAAACCATAACTTGCGTTTTTGGCATTTACACATATGTATATGTGTATACATATACACAGAGATGGGTACATGCATACCTTGATTTAGTAGTTAGTAGTGTGTTAAAGCCATTTTATACTTTCACTATGGAATGAAGAAAGTGATCGAACGGACTTGCAAGACCAGCATAGTTTCATGCGTATGGCTCAGGGTTTAGGGTTTAGGGGGTTTAGGGTTTGGGGCCTGGGGTCTAAACCCTAGCTTGGCTATCTCCAAATAATGTCAGGTTCAGACATATCCTAACCTTGCCATGGATGCTGGCCCTGTGCGAACTTTCGAAACACCATCAGGAGTCCTTTGATGGCAGGGGCCCAGTCTTGGTAACCGTTTCTGACTCTATTGCACAATACAGTTGCCCTTGGCACTACAGTACCCTGAGGGTCCTAACTCTGATACTCATACTACTACGAACACGGATATTAATGCTACTACTAGTGCTATACTGATACTACCTCCTCATAACTAAACCCTTTGGGGAACCTCAAAATGTAGGATTTCTGAGGCTCTACAGAGACTCGATTTCCTGAAGAGATACCCGCACCCTCAGGGTAAATTTGAACCCTCACCGGAGCCCTGAGAGCTTAGGCGCAAAGTCAGTTGACTGTAACTGCATCTTCGAACAGATCGGATAACTAGACCGCTTCCCCCCTTCCCAAGAGTCTGTCATCATAAAACTTACAGAGTCCAATATCCCAGAGGAACTAAAGGCTAACCTGTGGGATTATGTAAGGTTCATTATATATGGACTGCGACAACGGTTTCCTACTCAACTGCCCAGACATACTCTCACTGGCCCAAAACCCAAGGGAATAAAAGTTGAAACTTTCAGAATCGACTACCTTATAAGAACCCCAAAAGTTGAAAAGTTTAGTTTACAGCCTACAAGTACTGCTGGCCCGGCACGCTGCGATGTGAGCTGGTCATCGGTCATCCCATTGAGCCACCCGGTGTACCGCGGCGTGGCGTCCTCAAGCGCTTGAGGGTTTGGGGCTGACGCTTGAGGGTTTAGGGCTTGCAGGTTCCCACAAGGGCTCTATGGGGGTTCAGGGAAGTTTGGGCTTAAGGGTTTTGGCTTCGGGCCGTACGTTTCTGCTTGGGGGCTGCTGCAAGCTGTCTTACTGTGCTTCAAAATCCTGGGGCTCAGGCCAAGGTTGCTGGGTCTAGGTTAGAAGCTGCCCCCACCCTGTAATAGTCGCTATAAGGATTTTTTAGGGCCATACTATATTCCGATTATACCACTATTACAGGGTGGGGCCCCCTTCTAAGGTCTACGTCTAAATTGGGGTCACTGCTGGTAGTCCCTCCTTGTACACTGCGTACTGAGCAGGACTTGAACTAGCGCGGCAGGATCCCGATAAAGCCCACGAGTGATCCAACAGCTTTAAAGCCCAAAACAGTCCTCAGCAGCACGCGGTCTGATATCTAGTTGCTTAGATCCCCGAACCTGAGCCAAATGCAAGTTTTCACTTGGGTAAAAGGCCAAATATATATATATATATATATATATATGTATATATATATAAATAAATATAAATATAAATATAAATATAAATATATATATATATATATATATATATATATAAATTCGACCAACTCAGTACTCAGTTGTTGCAACACATCTGGGACCCGAAGGCCTGCTGAAGCAGTTTTGGGAATGCCAAAAACGCCTTTCAAGGACGGTTTGTTTGGGGGTTCCTTAAAAGGGGATCTCTATGACGGATCTGTGGGGGGTTCCTAAAAAGGGGATCTATAGGGTTTAGGGTTTAGGGGTTCCTTAAGGGGATCTCTATAGGGTTTAGGGTTTAAGGGGGGTTTCCTTAAGGGGATCTCTATAGGGTTTAGGGTTTAGGGTCTACTTAAAGGATCATGGGACTTAGTAAGTGGGTTTAGAGTTTTCATCCTATTTAGACACTTTTTGCGAAGGTGGCTGTGGGTTCCAGGACCCCAGTCAGCAAACATTAGAGTAGAAAACAACAACATTTTGCCTAGAGAACTCAAGACCGCAACAGAAACCGCTAAACGCCAAAGTCTGGATGAAAAGCACTTGTCTGTTTATAGATTCTTCAGAGAGGAGCAGACCTAACAACACCCAAACAGCTGGAAGTGTCCTACGGACTGCTCCGTTTTTTCAGGTAATGTTCCCATTGCTTAAGGCACTATCACCGAGGACACGCTCCCGTCCTACATCCGTGTTAGCGTAATCGAAAACTGATGCAAATTCCATGTTTGTTCATCCCACAGCTCCCATACAACCCTGTTGAGAACCCTCGAAGCCTTATAGAACCCATGCCCGTTAAGACACTTATGACCCATTCAGTGACGTATAAGCCGTATGGTAGTAGGACGCAGCAGGACACCTTGCTTGGGGCTCGGCGTTTTCGATCATTTAAGGGGCCTGGGTACGTACGCAGCCCTGACGGATGTGCTGACTCCTCCGGCATGCGGACAAAGCCTGTGCCCACCAGGGTGCGATCCTGATTTGTCAGCTATTCATCCAAAACCCTCCATGAAGGCTACTTGGAGGCCCTGTTGACTTAGTAAGTCTACTTAGTATCCCCCAGAAACCCCATTATAATCCCCATAACCCAGCTTACTAACCCCACTTACTAAGTCAAAAGGGCCTCCAAGTTGAGTCAAATCGTATGGGTGTAAGTTAAGGTTCGGAATGCTGCGAGTTCAGAACGAAGGCTCAGGGAAACGCGAGCTTGGGACACCACCTTTGGAGGCTGAATGCACTTAGTTTTTGTATTTCAGAAGCCTTATTTGGGGAGTGTTCTGAACTGGTGTAAAGGTTCGAGTTGCTGCCGAACCGAACACAAAAGGAGCAATCTCCTACAGCCGCCGTCCCCCACCCCTTCGACAAAGTCTGAATAACATAAGAATAAAGGGTTGGGGGACTGAGTAAGTATAAAGTTTATACCCGGTAAACTTTACCCCCTTACCCCAAAACCCCTAAACCCCACACCCTGAACCCTAACAGGGGGCCTTATTCGGGTTTTTGCCACTTACAAGTTTCTCGAATAACTGCTCAAGCTCGCATGGTCCCCGGCCGGCCTTTCAAGGAGATTGTGAAGCCCCTATGTTGAGCCCTCTGCCCTCGAAACCTTCATTCCTTGTATATCGGTTCCGGGTTGAGGGTTTAGGAATGAATGGAGTCGAATAGAGCAGGGTTGCAGGGTTTCGGGGTACACTTAGTTCAATCATGACATAGGACTGCAAGGCTTGGGACAAAAAGGGGACCCTTACTCCTTCACTATTGATTCGCAGCCCGAAGCCCTAAACACCAGTTAAAGTACCATTCTGTCTCCTCCCACACAACTTGATAAAGTGAATTTCCTTCTTGCCATGTAGAGTTCTCGAACCAGCACTCGCTGCACGCAGGGTCTAACCGCTTTAGAGTTTACATACCCCAAAAAGGTCCATGTACCCAAATAGTATATACTTTGGCCCTAATGTACTCAAATAGGGGTTACTTCCGGGCCAATGCATATACTATTTGGGTACATGGACCTCTAGGGTACACCAACCCGTGATCTGGGATCAAGGATGGTTTGGGCTGTTGGCTTTTAGGGTTTAGATTCCGAAACGTAAATCCAGAACTCCAATGACCCGACCCAACCCTTCACCCCTATGCTTTGCAGCTTCGGGCTATGTGTTAGGGCTTTAGTTCCTAGGCCCTTGGGCAACCGTCGTCTAATCTCAACCTCGCAGCAGACACGGACTACAAAGGAATATGATTGTTTAGAGAGTTTTTTGTATGGGGGCATGATTAGAATTGGTGTTGGGGGATATAGTAGTACAGGTATGTAAAGACTATCAGGGGACGTTTGTGAACCCCCATCAAACCAGCAGAAAGCCAGAACTATCCTTCGCAAAGCCGTATACAACACCTAAACCTAAACTCTTGCTAATGTAGGGGCATGAATAAGTAGACTACGCAGAGTCTTGAGGAGTTAATACTGCACATAAGGCACATGCTTGGAGTGGCTTAGTAAGTAGGTTATAAGTAGAGTTATAAGAACCCCAAATGGAGTTACCCCAAATATAACCCTACTTATAACCTACTTACTAAGTCCCCCGCCCCTCCAAGTGACCTCAGGCATCCTTTGGCCTAGTGTTCTCGAGTATATTCACCTGCGTCCTGAGTAGCCCTTTTATCATAAGGGTACCCTTTTCCTACTAGTAAGTCTTAATAAGGGGATCCTAAACTGCACAGGGCCAAAGCATACTACTCAGGAACCTAGTAGACCCTAAACCCCTATAGATCCCGGTAAGGAACCTGGGAGTCAGGATTAGGGGGACCCTCGGGGATATAGACCCTCTCAATAAGGTCCCGTTTAAGAGAGCCAGAAGTAGGGTTCGGAAGGGGTACCCTTTAATATTTAAGGGGTCTCCCTCATCATGCTACCCGGCCCTACTTGGAGGATCATGGGACTTAGTAAGTACGGTCAGAAGTACCTTCGCTGGAGTTATAACTAGTCCTAAGTACAGCTACCTTATTTATAACCCCACGTACTAAATCCCATGACCCTTTAAGTGCGACCCCCTAAACCCTAAACCCTCACCCAGAACCCTAACCAGTCTCTTGCGGTGTCCAGGTTCTTGATGCTCAGAGGGCAGAGCTCGAAGCGCTTCGATCTGCAGCTGAATTCCTCGAATCCAAGGAAAAAGGAGGGACCCTTAATAAGGACCCCTAGGTGTATGCCCGTAATTTTGCTTTTGTATACCAATTTTTTAGGCCTATTATAGGGCTGGGGTCCCCATTAAGTGTCCCTCTCTTTCCCCTACTATATTAAGGGTATAAATTATAGATCCCTTTAAGGGACCCCTATAAAGGAACCCTAAGGAATAGTATAGGGTAGGGGTCCCCATTAAGAGTCCCTATTTTTCCCCTGTTTGATCGAAGGATCCAAGGTTTTGAGGTTGTTCTTAAAGGGTCTGGAATTAGTTTGGGTTTTTTTTTTTTTTTTTTTTGGGAATTTTTTTTTTTGTGGTTTGCTTGGCCGTGTTGCATTGCCTTGCAGGGCAGCATCCTCGGGCGTTCAAACGCGAGGTAAAGTTACACATTTTGCGGGCGCCGCGCAACCCTTCACAGGGTTTGGGTGCATTGAGCTGCATTTTGCAACCCTTCACAGGGATTGGCATTTTGCAACCCTTCACAGGGATTGGCATGGTCGAATGCACGAACGCTAGGTAAAGTTGCATTTTTTGATGTGCATTGAAATGAATTTTGCAACCCTTCACAGGGATTGGCGTGGTCGAGTGTTCGAACGCGAGGTAAAGTTGCAATTTTTTATGTGCATTGAGATGAATTTTGCAACCCTTCACAGGGATTGGCGTGGTCGAGTGTTCGAACGCGAGGCAAAGTTGCATTTTTTGATGTGCATTGAGATGAATTTTGCAACCCTTCACAGGGATTGGCGTGGTCGAGTGTTCGAACGCGAGGTAAAGTTGCAATTTTTGATGTGCATTGACATGAATTTTGCAACCCTTCACACAGATTGGCGTTGTCGAGTGTTCGAACGCGAGGTAAAATTATTACTTTTGATGTGCATTGAGGTGAAACTTGCAACCCTTCACAGAGATTGGCGTTGTCGAGTGTTCGAACTAGTACTAGTACTACTACTACCACTACCACTACTACAACTATTATTACTACTACTACTATCACTACTACTAGTACTGGTACTGCTAGTACTACTAGTACTACTACTACTACTACTACTACTACTACTACTACTACTACTGCTGCGACATAAAGTGACCATGCATAGAGTCATAGAGTCACGTTGAAACCACAGTGGCAGTCGTAGTAGGTGTAGTAGTAGTCGTCGTCGCATAGTCGCAGCGGTAGTCGTAGTAGTAGTAGTAGTAGTAGTGGTAGTTGTAGTTGTTGTTGTGGTACGTAGTAGTAGTAGTAGTAGTAGTAGTAGTAGTAGTAGTAATAAAGTAGTAGTAGTAGTGGCAGTAGTAGCAGTAGCAGTAGTAGTGGTAGTAGTAGTGTAGTAGTAGTAGTAGTAGTATTCTTTTGTAGTAGTGGTAGTAGTAGCAGTAGTAATCAGGGATGTCTATATAGTGAGGTTCCGGAGCTAGGAAAGGAAGACTTCTGCGTCATGTTGGACTATACCCTAAACCCGCTAAACCTGAACATTAGTGTTCATAGAGTGAACTACATCAAGTCAAGTGCGTGGTACATAGATGATAGATGACTCTATGACTCTATGACTCTATGATTCTGTCTCACTGTGACTCTATGACTCTATATGACTCTATGACTCTTTGAACTATGACTTGTGCTTGACATGTACTCGACTTTATTTCTCGATGACCCTATGAACTATGACTTGTACGACTCTTGACTGTATGTGACACTCCGACTCTGTGACTCCGTGCTTTTGACTCGGTGACTCCATGACCCTATACACTGGATTTTATGACGTAGCGCAACACTCTTCGCTGATGATGCTTTCGGGCCAATTGTCTTCTAGTTTTCCAACTTTGCTTTTTTATTATGGACTTCTTTCTTTCTTTCGCTCGTTCATTTCTTTTCTTTCTTTCTGTTGTTCTTTCTTTGTTCATCTCATACTCCCTTCCTTTCTTTCTTGCTTTCCTTTCTGGTTTGATTTATTTCGTTCTTTCTTTGGTTCGTTCTTTCTTTCGTTCTTGCTTTCGTTCTTTCTTTCGTTTTTGCTTTCGTTCTTTCGTTCTCTCTCTCGTTCTATCTTTCTTTCTTTCTGTTTTCCTTGTTTTCGTCCTCTTTAGATACAGCAATTTTTGAATTTTTCCCAGGGGAAACACTGTTTTCATACGGATTCGTTTTCATTTCCTGAGGATTTGCTTGGTTTTTGGTTCGGGAAAACACGATTTTCCTACGGATTCCGTGGTATTTCCTTAAGTTTCTTTCTTTAGTTCTTGCTTTCGTTCTTCCTCTTGTTTTTGCTTTCGTTCTTTCGTTCTCTCTCTCGTTTTTTCTTTCTTTCTGTCTTTCTTTCTTGCTTTTTAGATACAGCAATTCTTGAATTTTTCCAAGGGAAAACACTGCTTTCCTAGGGATTTTCTTTCGTTTCCTAAGGATTTGCTTGGTTTTTCCTGGGGAAAACACGATTTTCCTACGGATTCCGTGGTATTTCTCTAAGTTGTCAACTCTCTTTGGTTCTTTCCTTGTGTTTTCTTTTTTCTTTCCTTGTAGCTTTCTTTCTTTACTTAGTTCTCTATTTTTGTTTTCTTTCTTTACTTATAGCTTTCTTTATTTACTTATTTCTCTGTTTCTTGCATGGCTTTCTTTCTTTCTTTCGTTGTTTCTTTATTTCTTTCTTTTGTTCTTTCTTTCTTTCGTTGTTTCTTTATTTCTTTATTTCGTTCTTTCTTTCGTTCTTTCTTTCTTTCTTCCTTGCTTTCTTTCTTCCTTTCTTTCTTTCGTTCTTTCTTTCTTTCCTTCTCTCTCTCTCTCTGTCTTTCGTTCCTTTTTCCCCTTCCTTTCGCGGATACCCGTTTAATTTTTTTATCCTTATTTAATTTTTTTGATCCTTATTTAATTTTTTTTGATCCTTATTTAATTTTTTTTAACCCCTATCCCGCTTTACTGACCTAAATTCGCCTCGGCTCGGCTTAGGGTTGAGGGCGTGACTTAAGGACTGATTTATGAGGCTCTCTATGCCGAAGAAAAAAGCCAAGAAGCCGAAAAGCCAAGAAGCCAGAAGCCAAGAAGCCAGGGAGAATCAAAGCAACCCTGCACGGCTTAAAACAGCGGGGGGGTTGGGGGGGGCGCAGCCCCCCCCATTTGCAGAGACAACGTTCACATGATGGGCCGAAAACACTCTTTGAATCAAGCTTGCACGTCTCGAAAAGCGCGGCGGCGGGTGTTTTGTTCTTCCGTGCCTGTTCGTGTCTCTTCTTCCGCTAGCATTCTAACCTAATATATATAACATAGTAAACCAGAAGAACGACATAAGATGGTTCGACAACACAAAAATGGTGTGACATTTTCTGACATAACAGAACCTTGCTTCTTATAGCATATAATAGCATACTAAAAAAACAATACAATACAATATAACAGAAGATGACATAGAACAAAACAACATCTTAGTTTATAGTGTAGTACATTGTAACATAGTACAGTACAGTGTGTCTATTTACAACATAATATGTAGCATATTTTATAGGCTGCATTTACATTATGTTATATTCTGTTACGTTACATTACGATATTATGGTAAATTCGAGTGGGCTATGTAGTATCCTGTTGCTTGTATCTTTGTTTTTGTGATTTTTTCATATTCTTTCTCTTTCGTATTTTCCAACTTTGCTTTTTTATTATGGACTTCTTTCTTTCTTTCGCTCGTTCATTTCTTTTCTTTCTTTCTGTTGTTCTTTCTTTGTTCATCTCATACTCCCTTCCTTTCTTTCTTGCTTTCCTTTCTGGTTTGATTTATTTCGTTCTTTCTTTGGTTCGTTCTTTCTTTCGTTCTTGCTTTCGTTCTTTCTTTCGTTTTTGCTTTCGTTCTTTCGTTCTCTCTCTCGTTCTATCTTTCTTTCTTTCTGTTTTCCTTTGTTTTCGTCCTCTTTAGATACAGCAATTTTTGAATTTTTCCCAGGGGAAACACTGTTTTCATACGGATTCGTTTTCATTTCCTGAGGATTTGCTTGGTTTTTGGTTCGGGAAAACACGATTTTCCTACGGATTCCGTGGTATTTCCTTAAGTTTCTTTCTTTAGTTCTTGCTTTCGTTCTTCCTCTTGTTTTTGCTTTCGTTCTTTCGTTCTCTCTCTCGTTTTTTCTTTCTTTCTGTCTTTCTTTCTTGCTTTTTAGATACAGCTATTCCTGAATTTTTCCAAGGGAAAACACTGCTTTCCTAGGGATTTTCTTTCGTTTCCTAAGGATTTGCTTGGTTTTTCCTGGGGAAAACACGATTTTCCTACGGATTCCGTGGTATTTCTCTAAGTTGTCAACTCTCTTTGGTTCTTTCCTTGTGTTTTCTTTTTTCTTTCCTTGTAGCTTTCTTTCTTTACTTAGTTCTCTATTTTTGTTTTCTTTCTTTACTTATAGCTTTCTTTATTTACTTATTTCTCTGTTTCTTGCATGGCTTTCTTTCTTTCTTTCGTTGTTCTTTCTTTCTTTCTTTTGTTCTTTCTTTCTTTCGTTGTTTCTTTATTTCTTTATTTCGTTCTTTCTTTCGTTCTTTCTTTCTTCCTTGCTTTCTTTCTTCCTTTCTTTCTTTCGTTCTTTCTTTCTTTCCTTCTCTCTCTCTCTCTGTCTTTCGTTCCTTTTTCCCCTTCCTTTCGCGGATACCTGTTTAATTTTTTATCCTTATTTAATAATTTAATTTTTTTTTGATCCTTATTTAGTTTTTTTTGATCCTTATTTAATTTTTTTTTAACCCCTATCCCGCCTTACTGACCTAAATTCGCCTCGGCTCGGCTTAGGGTTGAGGGCGTGACTTAAGGACTGATTTATGAGGCTCTCTATGCCGAAGAAAAAAAAGCCAAGAAGCCGAAAAGCCAAGAAGCCAGAAGCCAAGAAGCCAGGGAAGCCGAGAAGCCAAGCCAAGCGCGCACACAAGCCAAAAAAAAAAAAAATCAAAAAAAAAAAAAAAAAAATCCCAAAATAAATACGCCTCCGTTCTTAAAGCCCTCAAGGTCCTAAACCCCAA